CAAGATTGGGTATGCTGGCATACCATAGTCCTAGATACTTGGGAGATCAAGGCAGGAAGATTCCTTTAGCCCTTGAGTTTGAAGCCAGCCTAAGCAACATAACTAGATTCTATCTTAAAAAAAAAAAAAAAGCCAACCCTGGAGTAATAAAATTCTTTCTCATTTCCAAACTCAAGCAAGCAAATTAGTGGAGTCTTAGTGAAGTACCTCCATACTCAAAGAAGTTTCATCTAGCAGTCTGTGGACTAGCTAATCCATCAGTGAGTTCTATTTTTGTAGATGAATGTATTTTATATGAAATCCATTTTACCAATAAAGAACAAAATGTTTGGTATTAACTAACTGAGCAAATACATCAGGAAACCAGGTGGAAGCAATTAACCTGAATCATGATCATTAGTATATCCTGTGTGAATGCAATGTTATCTCTTCAAAATCACAGACTGGTGAAAAGAACAGACATCATTTCAATATTACAGATGTTACCAAAATGGAGTAATGTTTTAAAAGGGTACAAAATCTAGGCCATTGCCCAATGAAAAACCTATCAAATCAACCTTACTCTTAAGTTAAAAGTAACTAAACCAGCTCTGCATTTTTAATCATCTGCAAATAAACTCACTTCATGGCCTGAAGAGAGAGATACCTATAAGAAGACTTCTGCAGTTGGTGGTACAAAGAGACTCTGCCCACCAGGATTCTCTCATGCTAACAGATATGTCCAGTCCTTCCCATACTTCAATTCCATATAGATCTTTTTTATGCTTTTGGCCCCATGGGAGCAGAGCTGTCTGCTAGGAATCCTTCACCATGAGATCTAATTTATATCTCTTATTTCACCCACAAACCTCCTGTTTTTTCTTTCAATCAAACATGTTATTAAGCCAGGCAAACTCACATGGCTGTAGTCCCAGTGGCTTGGGCAGCTGAGACAGGAGGATCACGAGTTCAAAGCGATCAATGATGAGACACTAAGCAACTCAGTGAGACCCTGTCTCTAAATAAAATACAAAATAGGGTGGGGGATGTGGATCAGTGGTACCCCCCCACCAAAAATAAAAAACATGTTCTCAGTCCCTTACCCTACAATTCCCTTTATATCATTACCTCTTTCACACATCCACAACACTACCCAAGGAAAACAGATTTTGGTTCTGAATGATAGAAGAATTGTGGCTACAAGGAGATAAGTTTAGGTTTTCAGGACCCATGGGAAATAGGAAAGGACCTGAGAAATCAGACACTGCACACTTCTCTAACTCCCTCTCAAAGCCCCCCAGGCTCAGCCTTAGCCTTGGCAATACAATTTTACTGGTTGCTCCTCTGAATTGACCTTTAAGGTCTCATTTCCATCTCACCTTCCTTGGCAATGATAATTAACTCAAAGCTTGCATTGGGTTAGATTATGTTGATGTGAACTACAGGGTATCTCTTAGATTTACCACTTCTCTCCATGAAAAAAAAATGTTTATAGTGAAATAAGAATAAAGACTCCACATACAGAATGAAATAGGTAAAGGAAAACAGACTTTGAGTGGTTTAAAATAATGTGAGAGCTGTTTCTATCAGGAATAACATGTTATATAACTTGAGTTTCATGAATCAGCAGTTTAGTCAGTAATTTACATGAATTTTTTAAAAAAGAAAGAAACCATGAGGATTGGAAAAGGTAAAAGTGGTTTCTCAAACAAGACAGGTGTCATAAGAATTTTATCCCACCCTCATTTAGAAGGCTGACAGGCAAATGACTCAGTCTGGCTTCATTAAAGGTTTCTTACCAGATAATATCCCTCATAAGGGAAGGCCATCCCATATATCACTTCTCCCTGATAACAATTCCTCCGCCTAGGTAATGGCCATATTTTCCTCTCTAATTTCCATCTGGGGATCACATACTTAGGATACAGAAAATTATGCTTACAGGATATACATAGTTGAGAATTTTTCTGTTTTTTATTTTATTTTTTGAGGGGAGTACTGGGGATTGAACTCAGGGGTACTCAGCCTCTGAGCCACATCTCCAGCCCTATTTTGTATTTTATTTAGAGACAAGGTCTCACTGAGTTGCTTAGCACCTTGCTTTTATTGAGGCTGGCTTTGAACTCAAGATCCTCCTGTCTTAGTCTCCCTAGCTGCTGGGATTACAGGTGCGCCACCTCACCCAGCTCTAATTTTTCTGTTTTTTAAAAACATGATCCTTTTTACTAAAGTAATAGCAATATTTCAACACATACATACACTCTGAGTAATCTCAGATACGTGTAAAAAAAAAATGAGGGGTGAGGGTGTAGCTCAGTAATAGTGCACCTTGCCTAACAAGTATGATGCCCTGGGTTTGAATACTAGCAATGCAAAGAAACAAAAAAGACAAAACACAGTATGTTTGAACTTGAGCATAAATCTAAGCAGCTTAGAATCTACATAAGAAAGCTGTCAACACAAACACTAACACCATGCGTTCAATCCAGACACTTTCAAAATCAGAGGAAAAAAAATAGAATGGGAAGGGAAAATAAAAAATAACAAAATTATTTTCTTTTTCAAAAACCAGGGATGATGGGCTGGGGTTGTGGCTCAGTGGCCTAGTATGTGTGAGGCACTGTGTTTGATTCTCAGCACCGTGTATAAATAAATAATAAAGGTCCATCAACAACTAAAAAATAATTTTTTAAAAAAAAGGGATGACAAATCCTAAGAAATTAGTCCAAAGGGTATTCCTGTCCCAGAAAAGGTAGTATTTGTACCAGATGCTATTTGATAAAAGAAAAGCACTAGATTAGGCCTAGAAATCTCTTTGGCATAAATCAATTATGAGAAGTGTGTTTTGAAAGCTCAAGATATCTGCAGTCATTTGGAGTCATTCATTCCAAGGAATGTTTATTACAGGCCTGCACGTGCCAGGCTCTGTCCACATGCCTACTCTAGTCAAGTGCTGCCTCTCACCAGCTGTGTAATCAGGGCTACATCATGTTAACATTTCTCAGCTTCAGTTTCTCCACTTGTACAAATGAGAATAAAAAATGACTACCAACCTCACAAGATTTCTGATGACATCTGAGTATGTCTGAAGGCACTCTGTAAACTATGAAAGTGTTAGGTGTCTTGGCTGAATTGAATGCACGAGTGCTACTAACATCTGTTGTGCCATAAATTATATCAGAGGAAAGTGAGTCTTCCTGCTTCAAGAAGTACTTTATAATCCCATTAAATAAGGTTTATGGTCTCATTTAATCACCTCCCTGGAAATTTAAATATTTGAGAGAGAGAAAGAGAGAGAGACACACACACACACACACACACACACACACACCAGGGCACTAGGAGGGAGACCAGAAGAAAGGGATGTATGGATTTTGATTACATTTGTAATCATTATAATGAAAAAAAAAACATATCTATATTATTTAGTCCCCATTTCAGATCTCAATCAATTTGGCCATCAGGCCAAAGTTCTCTTTGAAGAGGTTATTTTATTCTGGAAAAAGCATCCTATATATATCTACAAATGACAAAATGAACACCTACTAGACTGACCCACCAACTCAGTGTTACCAACAGCAAGGGTCAGTAAAATTAGGAAACATAATTTACATCAGTGTGTACAAACCGAAATGTTATTTTATCATCCAATCTGATCCTGGCACCTAAAGCCATGTCCTATGAATTGTCAAACAGATTAGGAAACAAAGTTCCTTTAAAAAACAAAATGAGGCTCCATGCAGTGGCAGTTGAAAAAAGGGGGAAGTTCTGGTTTCTCCAGTTAGCTAATGGGCTCCAAGGTAAAATGGCAAGACTATTTTACAGAAGCTGCTTGGGATCTGGTGAGACCTGCTTGCAACAGGTCTTATTCCCTGGAGCTACAGACTCGCTTCCCCAGCGAATGCAGGGGTGGCAGCTTGTCTTAAGGGAGTGGTGGCCAAGGGGGCCAGAAGGCACACCCAGCGCTAAAATATGCCTGAAACTTCCCTCTGTTTCCAGCTCTTGCTATGACATTCGGGGAACTAAGGTATGCACAGTCCCTTTATGATTAGGACCGCTATAATTTAAAATCTTGAATTAAGAATTTGAGTTAATATTTATAAAGCACTTTAGAGCCCCTTACGCAGGAAGAGCTAAGAGGCACAAAAAGACGGCACTTCCCCATGGGTTGGGTGAATACTCAACCTAGTGAGAAGGGATAGAGAATCAAACTACACAACAGTCTATTTTCATCCCGACAAAGATTTTGAAATTGTAGCGCTCTGTATTCATTCTTTAATCTCAAATACACCCTGTAAAGCCTGTTGTGCCGGACTGAAATTCTACTCATGGTTCAGAAATACCCGTGCAAAATTGAGAACTGAAGTTGCAAGAGATGAATCCTTTCTCTTCTCTATGTTACCTTATGCTCTCGTTTCTGTTAGTAACCATCACTAAAAATGCCTCTGGATGGTACATACCAGTGCTAAAACTGAGAGAATTAACACAGACTGACTTGAAAAGAGACCAAAGGGTTCAAGTCGCTGAGAACTTCAAAGAACAGCAGCGCCTTGAAGTCTCGCCCTAACAGCTCGGCTGACAACAGGTAAAGGACTCCTCCAGTGCACCCCTCCCGCGGCCACCCGCAACCCCGAGCCTCGCAGGTGACCCGCACCCACTTCCTCCTCGCGTGGGGTCTTCTGTCCCTCCTCGTTGCCCGATCCTCTAGGCTAGGGGCTGCGCCCAGGGTAACTGTCTTCCCACCGACAACCCTCGGGCGTTTAGGAATGTCAAAGCACAATCCGAATTCACCTCGAAGAAACAAAAGACCACAAACTGAGTCTGGGGGCTGGGCGGGGGTATAGCTTTTTCCCTGCAGACCTTCTCGGAGATTGCCGGGGGAATCCGGGAAAGTCACGTTTGCTTGAGGAGCTGCAGCAGTCGAGGCCCCGGGCAGCCCTCGCCCCGCCCCGTCTCCTCCCGCGTAGGGGCTCCGACCACGGCCCGGACCGCGCGGACCCTCCCGCCGGCCCGGCACCTACCCGGCTCCGCGGTGCTGCCTCCCGGCGCCGCGGGCGCCGAGTCAAGCGCGCTCGCGCTTCCTCCTTCCCGGCAGGGCCGCCGGGCGCTGGCGTTTCCTCCCTGACGCGTCACGGCGGCCGGGGGCTCCTCCCGTGGGGCCGCGAGGGCAGCCGGCAGCTCGCCGGGGAAGGCTCCCGCTCCAAGTCCGGGGCACGAACAACCGGGAACGGCGAGCGGGAGGCAGCCCGCGTCCGGCAGGGGCTGCAGGCTGTGCAGCCCCGCTCAGGCCCGCCGCCCCGGCCGCGGAAACCAGCCTCCTCTCTTCCCCCGAGGACCCGAGCGAAGGGCCGGGCCACCGTGCGCGGTCTGCCCCAGTCACGCGGTGTGCAAAGTTCAACAGGACGCCGGTGGATCCTTCTGCGGGCGCAGATCCTTTGTGGTTTCCCGCTGCCCAGCAGATCGTGACCGCTGCCCTGGGCCACGAGATCTGCGTGGGCCACAGCGATGGGCCAAGGCGTGAAAATGACCTTGGTTTGTGTAGGGAGCAAAGCTGCTTGACCCTCACTAGAGGGGACGAGACACCCCACCAACGGAACGGGGGCCATATGGCTTTGTAGACTCAGAGAAGTGAAATAAGTATCCAGATACTTTAGGAGAACAACCATGCTTTATTTAACCTTATTTGAAGTTTTCTACTTTTTTTTTTTTCCCCATCAGCAGAATTTTGGCCTTTGTATTTATAGATAGGCCAGAGCTTCCACAAATTGGCAGATCCTGTGGACAGAGAAATATTCTTTATCTGCCTCTTTTTACACCTATTAACTTAAATAAAAAATTCTTGTTAATGTCCAAGTCAACTGAGGGCACGCTTAACAGCTTGTTACTTTTATCCTTTGACTGCAGAAGCCACATTTTAGAGCTCTCCATTTATCTCTTTTCTCCAGATAAGATAAAGAGGTACAGAATGTGAATGGTTGTGGATAAAGTGGTTTAAGATTTTGAAGTAGAGTGGATTTGATTTTGTTCTTGTCGTCGTTTTTGGTCCCACAACTCCACTCTAGTTTAGATTTTATACATTATCATTTAAAATAGATCTGAACAACTATTTAAAGATTCCCATATTCATGTCACACTTCAGATGTTTTTAATATTTATTTTTTAGTTACAGGTGGACACGATATCTTTATTTTATTTTTATGTGGTGTTGAGGATGGTACCCAGTGCCTCACACATGCTAGGCGAGTGCTCTACTGCTGAGCCACAACCCCAGCCCCACGCTTCAAATTTTGAAGCAATGATCTATATTTCAGATTAGAAGATTCCAGAAAATTTGCCACAATCTGTGAACAAGTAAACTGCCAAAGGTAATTAGAGGAACTGAGATTCCTGTGAGACTTCCTTAAATTCAGGGGTCATTTCCTTATGTTTTAAAATGATACACAAAGATTTAGCCCCACAAGTAATATTCTTACCATGAATATTCATTTTTACTGCCCATACCACTGTATGACTTTCTCTTCTTAAAAAAAAAAAAATGGATTGTAAGCCAAAATATTTTTTTAGTTGTCAATGGATCTTTTTTTAAAAATTAATTTGTTTGTTTGTTTGTTCATATGCGGTACAGGGGATTGAATCCACAGCCTCACACATGCCAGCTAACAATTCCAGCCCACTAAAATATTTTTTTATATTTTGAAACATAATAGTCTTACAGAACTTTCTAAACAAAGGTTTTCAGTGGCATTCGGATATGAATATAAGAATAGATGCAAACCTACACATTGCCAATGGTCCTTTAAATCTTTTTCACTGTGGTCCGTACACAAAGAAATCCACACAATAAAACACAGACAAGTTCTTTCCTTGTAATAAAACCAACAAATGATCAGTGTATCTCTTAATTAAAGCCATATTCACAGTCTGAAAATTTTCCCAGACAAAAGGAAGTTCTATGTCAATAAACATCAAGTGGAATGACATCATTCCCACTTTAAAGACAAATCCCTAGCTATCACCATATTTTGCCTTTTTTTTTTTTTAAACAAACATTTGGGAACTATTACAACATTTCCAGGTTCAATTTGTCTTCCTGCTGTGAGGGACACAGACACACACACACACACACACACACACACACACACACCCTACCTACCACAACACACAAACATTTTAATATACAAAAAGGGATGAACTACTTTCAATTGACAAGAGATATGTATTTTGCTTTTATAATTTGAGACTTGCAATGTAACAGCTTGATTTCTCAAAAAACTAGGGGAAGTAAATATATTCACAGACCACTGAGGTTTTTTCAGTTATTTCCCACCCCGTCTGGGATACAGCCCATGATAAGTCAGTGAACACATGATAGGCCAGTGCTCTATTAGTGATCAACACCTTTAGCCCCTAAAATTAATTTTAAGGGCCCATTTTCATGCTGATCGCTTTAATCATATTCACTTATAAAGATATAGATTATATGCCCATTTTCTATCATTTCCCATTTAAGTTGTCCCCTCTCCCAGCCAATGAGATGGGGGTCTTGCTATGCTGCTCAAGGCTGGCCTGTAATTTGTAATCCTTCTGAATAGCTGGGATTAGAGGGATTCACTTAGTTTTCCAATTTAAGTTTCAACTGTAAAAGAAGAGTTAAATGTTCAGCTAAATATCCAGATGATGTTTATGCTTTTGTGAAAAGTTTCATGTAAATGCATTTTAAAATAGGAAAGTTGGGTTTTGGTTTTTAGGTTTTTTCAGTCACAGTGTGGGTCCCAACATTTGTGGAGTAGAAATTATGGAACGAGCATTAAAATGGGACAGACTCAGGTTTAACTTCTGTCTTTTCTTCTTTCTGCTGTGGGCAAATCATTTCACCTCTCTGAGCATTGGTCTCATCAGTAACATGAGGATATAATAGAGTTTTTTCTTCCTCAAAACAGAGATAATAGTGCTTATATCTTGAAATTGCCAATGAGGATCAAATGAACTTGGTAGAATGCCTAGAACATAACATCAATTGATTGCTATGGTTTGAAAGTGTTTTTCAGTGGGGCATAATGGTGTACAATTGTAATTCCAACAATTTGGGAGGCTGAGGCAGGAGAATTACTAGTTCAAGGCCTGCCTTGGCAGTTTGGCAAGACCCTGTCAAAATTAAAAATACAAAAAAAAAAAAAGAAAAGAAAGAAAGAAAGAAAAAGGAAAAAGAAAGGTGGGGGATGTAGCTTACTGGTAGAAGTTCAATCCCTTGTATTGGAAGAAAAAAAAAGTGTTTTTCAAGTTTATTCATTGGAAAAATAATTATGGATGCAACAAAATTGAGAAGTGATTAGGTCATAAGGCCTGTGCCCTCATGAGCGGATTAGTGCCATTAACAAGCGAGAAGGTTAATTTTGGGAATGTGGATTTGATATAAAAGTGAGTTTCACCATCTCTTGCCCTTCCACCTCTGCCATGGGATGATGTAATATGAAGGTCCTCACCATATGCTAGTGCCATACTCTTGGACTTCCCAGCCTATAGAACTGAGCCAAATAAATTTCTGTTCAATTAAAAATACCCATTCTCTGGTGTTACAGCAGCAGAAGACAGACTAAGACAATTATTATCATCATTAGCTCTGAAACAGATATAAAAATGCCAATATTATTTCATTTGTAGTCATATAAAATAATCAAATTTTAAAAGTTTTTTATTTTGTTTTAATATAGAAGTCCTAACACTAACAGGAAAAACAGTCATAAAAGAAATACTAAGATACATACAGAATTTGAGAACAATTAAACTGACAATGATATAAATTGTTGACCCAAACATTAAAAAAAAGCAACTAACTTCTTGACAAGGTAATTTAATTTTTTAGATAATATATCCAATGAAATGAGCACTTGGTTTTCATCCTCCACTATGCAAAATGGAAAATATTTTCTCTAAAGCAGTGCTTGATATGAAGGCATTATTATTTTTATATCATAATAATGCCCTCTATTATTTGTAGTTTTTTTTTTTTTTTTGTAACCTTAGAAGAGGTTAGGGGCAAACAAATGCAAGTAAGATCACTTTTATTAGAAGAAAAATGGAATAAATGGCAGTTACAGTTACAACTAGTTAAAGAAGTAAGGGCCAATATTCATGAAAACATTTGTTTTATAGCACATAAAATGTTCAGTCTGGAGAGTTAATAATAACCAGTGACATGGTTACAAAATCAAAGATGTTTTTGAGTCATATTATTTGCTTTTAGAGCATCTTTTCCTTCAACCTATTACAGACTTGCCTACTTAAGTGGGTCAGGCATCATGAGTTGTTGCTATAGTTTCCAGCTATGTTTATCAGTTGATACACCAATTGCAGCATCCCACAACCTCAAATAAAAGGAAACCATTTTTATAGGGAAGGTACTTTAGGACATAATCCTAATCATGAATTGGCTTCAATATAATTTAAAAGAAAAGCCTGCTGTAAAAATGAGTAAGAATATGGGAAAACAAAAATGACTAATTTACTGAATTTTCTGAGCAAGACAACTTAATAAAACACAAAGCAAGCCAAGTATAGTTAGAAAAACTCAGACACTCATGAGAACTAAAGCTGATTAATAAATCGAGACCAGTTAATACCTTAGCACAGAGCAGAATTAACTTGTTTCTTTGATTGAGAAAATGGTTCTATGAGTGCTCATTTGAAGTTTGGAGGATGCAGGTGGAAGACCCAAAGCTCAACAGCTTTTCTTGGGCCAAATCAACTAAGTTCAAACTCAAAACCTGAACTGAAATGCCTGAAGTTCAAGTGTGTTTTCTAATAAAGAGAAAGCTTCATTTTAAAACAAAACTGTCTCGGGACAAAATATAAGGCTTTTCAGATCACAGGATTTACTTACTTTCTATGTTAGACTCATGAGAAAAACCAAAGGGGAGTGTTAAAAGATCAGAACCCTTAACTATGAGAATCAACTTTTTGAAAAGTAGGTAGAAATTACTTTAAATTATCCCAAGACAATCAATTCTTATCTAAAGGAAAACTACTATTGCACAAGGCCCTGGGTTCACTCCCCAGTACCAAAAAAAAAAAAAAAAAAAAGGAATGTAAAGGAAAACCATTATACTTCCCTACTAGGAAAAATCTCATTATCTCTTAATGTATTCTAAGTATCAAAATAAAATAAAAATCATCCTTTTTCCTCCCTCTTCCATCTTGTTTGGATAGTTTATTATGTACATAAACCATATCTGTTAATAGTAGACAATAACATATTTACATAAGTCCTGTCAGCAGTTTCTATGTTCAGAGAATCTTAGTAGGACTTTGAGCTCAAATGTGCTAGGTGGACTTTGAAGGTAACTATTATTTTAGTTGCTTATCGGTAGGACATAATAGTCTTTCTTAAATACTGTTCATTTGGTGACTCAGTTATTTACTGTCAATTATATGCAATTAATAATTGAATCCATTTCAAAAT